CCACCATGCACTGCCTTGCCAAAAAAATCATGTGTGTCACACCATAATCTTTATTTCCTCTTTTTCACCATCTGCAAGGCTGGGGGTTTTTTGGTGTTGTTTTTTTTTGTTTTGCGGTTTTTTTCCCAAATATGGTTATTTATACAATAAACAGATCTCAGCTGAGGTAAAAAATGGCCCAAAATTATTTTTACTCCCATGATACCTGACCCTAGAGTGCTTTGAAAAGCTGCCCCCAGATGGCCCAGGTAGCAGTTTCTACTCATTTTCCAACCTCAGAGCCACCAGTGTACACTGGAGAGCTTGGGAAACTCTCCTGAAATGGCTCTTGCCTCATGGCCATGTCACCGTGACCAGAGGCTGGGCCCTGGTGTTAAGCACGTGGCACTTCTGGAGTACAAGCTTTTTTAGTGCTACAAGATATAACTGGTTATTTAGTATTTTATTCATTTAATTTTTTAATTTTTTTGTGGCGTGGAAAAAGATGGTTTCCACTGACACCAGGACCTTACCTGTACCATTCTCTCAAACATGTGTGCTAAAGGCAAATAGGAAATGTGTACATCCTCACAAGTAGGAGACCACTGACTCTGGAAGAAAACACAAGGAGCCCCACGAGGCCTCGTCAGTTCGGGCACGTTTCTTACCTGGATAACTCTTTCAAACATGTGAGCCAGAGGCAGGAAGGAGATGAGCACATCGTCCTGTCTCGGAAAGATCACTTTCTGCAGGTGAAGGGCATGGGAGACAGAAAGGAAAGAAACACTGACAGGAAGACAACAAGAAAGTCATAAAACAATAAAGAGAAAAATGGCACCAGAGGAGTAAAAGGGTAAAGCTTGTCAATAGAGAGAAGAAGGGAGGAGCATACGAAGTGAAGCGTTAAGCCACAGCGTCAATGAAGCTGGGTTAGCGGGAGGAGTAAAGAGCACGGAGATGTACACAGAAGGTGATGGAGAGGGCTCTCCATGGCAGGAGGTCACTGTATCCGCACAGCTCACGCTGCAAACAGAGGCTCACCCCAACACAGAACCCCACTTTTATTCACCGCTTTCTACCAGGAGGTGCTGAGACCTCAATTTGCGCCCTCAGCTGTGGGCAGACCTGCAGGATACTGCTGAAAACCTGGAGGAGCCTCCTGAGAATCGTCAGGGCTCTACAGGCAAATAATTTTTCTACATTGCACAGAGCCTAGCAGAGATTCACAGTGTTACTCAAGTCAAAACTACAGATTTTTTTTCTCTTCCTTAGGTTAATAATTGATTTGAATCAGAAGATGCAGGAAAAATCAATTATTTTTTTCAGCTGCAAAAATTATTGATTTCTATTAGTGTTTCTCATAATTTTAAGTTATTAAAATGTATTTTTAAGGACATTACCACTGCCCCACAGACAGGTGCAGTAGGGAAAAAGAAGGCTGGACAAGTTATGCAAAAATTAACATGACCAAAGTCTTCAGTTTGCCAAGGGTTTACCTCTCTCTCCCAGGCTGGAATAACCAAAGGCCCTGAGAACCTTACCTGATCCATGCCCCAAAAGATAAGCAGCCTTTCTACCTGCATTTCCAAGGGTAAGGCTTGCAATAATATTATGGATTAGAAAAAATTAAATCTTGATTACCCAGTAACTTGCACCAAGGCCAGTGGTTAGTGGAAAATGGGTATAAAATCTATGAGCTCACAACCTTAGCAGTTTATATCCACTTTGTATCTCCACTGCTGTGATGGAATAGACAGCCCCTGGCCTGGGACACGGTGGGGAATGGAGGCACAGAAGCTTCTTCCTTGGGGAATATTTTATTGGAATTAAATCTGGGCAAGTCAGATTTGAGTATGCCCTCCCAACCATTCCCAAGTGAAGTCAAACACAATTGACCATGTGGGCATTTTCAGCATCCTGGTTTTTATCACTTTATGTGTCAGGCTGAACTAAGCCATTAGGGCCTGCAGATCTATTTATACATTATTTCAAATTGGCCTCATTTTCTGCAAGCACAGTAATGTAAAACCATTAGCATCACTAGCTATGCTACTTTTTTTTTTTTACATTGCTTTAAGTGCCCAGATAATAATTGGTCTGGTTTTAAATTGGACCAAAATGATGACTTTTAATAGTATTTCACAATTGGCACAGTTGTCTAGTTCAATATAAAAATGAAAACAGCATCTTGGTATTTGAGAACAAGCTTATAATAAAGCTCTAGGTTCACTTCAAAAAATTTCATTTATAAAAATCACTGAACAAAGAAAAACTGGCACCAGGGTAGGTAAACAGCAAATCTACAGTGCTCCTCAGCTCTAAGTATTTTTATTTTTATTAATTTATACTACTTTAAAGTATTTTGCACTTTGCTCAGTTTCATTTCTGTGGCCAGGCATTGCCCTCGTCGTGTGGCTCAGCTACAGGCATTTACACTCCCCAAAAACCTCTGGTGACTGAAGCTGTCGAATTGACAGCCACTTTCACCAGCCTTACATCTCAACCCGATACCTTTGAGATTAGTCAGAGAGTCCCATTGCTGCCAGCGAGCACTAAATCCATCTCTATGGGCCAGTTCGAGGAGATGCCAAGTTCCCTCAGCTTCCTTGAAATTAAGTCTCTTCCAAAATAAACGTTCCTGCCCTTTGGAGCTCAGACATATCTACGCATCGGCTTTCAGTTGTGCATCTCACTGCAGCAAACTGCTGCACTGACATTTCGTACTGCAAATTACTGGGGTCACAGCCCCACAGATACTTGAACACTTGAGTTCAGTGGGATTTCTCACATCACGTGTCCACATTTCTTCACAGCAGTGGTGTGGAAATCTCTGAAAGTTCAAGGAGCAAGGTAATAAAACTGAAGTATTTTCAGCACCGCTGATAAGACCAGCAAGAGCTATAAGGTAACACATTGTCCATCCCATGTCTAGATTGCTACATTATAGAATTGCCTGTTTACTAAAGAAAAATTAGATTCTTTGTATTTGTTAGGTACAAGCTGTATAAAATTCTTAATACGTTGTGCTAAAGCAATTCTGCTTCCTATATTGTTTCTAAACACAAGTTTACACATTGCATGAAGCGTGTTATATGGGTACTTGGCCAACACTATACTTTTTTAAAATATGTATAACAGAAATCAATATATACTTTAATATAAGTGAAGTTAACCACCCCTGTAAAGATGTATATGTTCTCATATATATATATATATATATATATATATACACACTTTATACACAGAGAGCTTTCAGATACATGAGGACATTGTGTGGTCATCCACAGAAGTGGATCCCTGTACTCTTTTCCAAGCACCAGTTGCAACTGTAAAGGGCTTATATGCTTTCCTAATTCTTTGAAAGGAGTTAATTGATTTACAGGAGCCAACGTTGCTCCTCAGAAGCACTTTGAGCCCTCCAGAGCCAGGGAGATGGTGCTGGAAATGGGATTTTATGCCCTCTAGCACCGTAAATTCAGACTCACTCCCATTTCCAGGGATTTGGCCCTCTGAGTAACAGAAACTGCACCTCTTATCTGCAGGAGCACATTTCCAGCCCAGGCAGGGACACAGCTTAACCCACACACTCTGCACATGGCAACATTTTCTACATCAGGGTATTCACCTCCGTCACTTTCAGAAAGCCTGAAAAATCAGCAACCACGTTCCCATGGGTCAGCATAGCACCTTTGGGGTTTCCTGAAAGGAAACAAAGAGAGATTTTAAAAGATGAGCCAGGAGGTAATTTCCAAAAGCTTAACAAAAACCAAAGCAGGATATGGTTAAAATATTAAGTTCTCTTTTTTTAAAATTTTAAAACCTATCTAATTTCCACAGTCATTTCTGTGCGGTAGTGTGCACCAAAACCACTTACTGCAATACTCAAAATTTAATAAAATGATGCTGTAAACACAAATATTTCTATTGGAGACACTGAACAACATTTCCACCACAAATAGCCCAACTGCAATTTATGAGAGCATTCAGATGGAGCTGCTCGATGAGCATGGCCATCAGACCCAGCCGGCTGATCCCAGCCTCTCCAGGTAGGATTTATTTAATACAGACTTTGACTAAGAATGATCTCGAATACCAACATGTGAAAGGCTGTTATTTTTTCATTATCTTCTCTCTTCTGAGCTGAGAATCCACCTTCTAATAATATAATTTTGGGGTTTATCTCTTCATACGCCAAAATATGGGTTCATTAAAGAGTGAATGTGCAGGCTGAAACCTCCAGACACAAACCGGAGCTGAGGGTCCCATCTAAAATGCCCTGCATGTCCTCCTGACACAGCACTGTCTCCCCTCAAAGGGTTTATTTCCAAAAAGAAGGTGTAGCTCAGCTCGAATAAGGATTACAGAGCCTACCTCACTCTCCAGTGTGTTTTCAAGCAGATTGTTTTAATTCAATCACCCCACTGCCGCGTAGCTCCTGCTACGCCACACAGAGCAGATCGGAGGAGCTTTACCCGCAGGTACTCTGCATAGGCCCAGCACAGCAGGCATGGAAGTGCCCCCAGCTTTGCAATGCTGTTACAGTTCACAATGAATGCAACAGCCTCACAAAACTGTAAATCAGTCAGAATTAGGAATTAACCTCAGATGAGGAAGGGGCAATGGTGTTTTGTGAATCAGTTTCAGCATGGGAAATTATGCTTAATCCTCTCCATTCGGGAGCGGTTTGCAGTGGTAGCTGGCAGCCCTTCGGTGGCACAGCTCAGCTCAGGCCCTGCTCCAGGAGCTGCGGTGCAGAGCCCTGTGCCCTGCTGGCTTTGCTGCCAGCACTTCTGCCCAGCCTCGCAAATAATCAAATAAAGGCCCAATGAAAAGTCGTAATTATGACATGCGTTTATTGCACTGAAGCAGGACATTTTGAACACAATGTATTTTACTGAATATCCGTATTTGGTGTTCCAAATGCCTTCTGAGTAATTCAGTCCCAAATACTTGCAGATGCACAGGAAGCTATTTTGGTCTCTCTTACACTCCTCCTCTTCCATAGCTCAGAGGTGAAGCTCGGGCACCAGCTTTGCCAGCCACAGCTGCTCCTGCCCCAACGTGTTGCACAGACAGACTTGCAACCACCAGCTCAGTCAGGCAGGTTTCGTTTCCAGGCACTTATTTTCACAGCTGGGTGCACATGTGGATCCAGACCTCAAGGAAACTCCACAAACCAATGTCAGTTGTAAATACATGCCAATGACCCAGAAATTGCTTATGTTATTTTAGTTGTACCTAACCAAGTATGCATGCTCAGCCCCAACAATTCTGCAAGCAGCCGTTCTGCAGCATGGTACCAAGGTTCTTGGTGTTGGCAGTGGGAAGGTTGCACAATGGCGGAGAGGACATGCTCGGTGCTGGTCTGGAAATTCAAACCTGCACCCTCCGGCTATACCAGAGACAGATCTGGCTCCTGCGCCTTGAGACAGCTCTTCAGACTTTTTTGGAAGATTTCTCAGATGTTTCAAGACCTCAGACTCATTTGCTGACTCCACTTCTGACTCTTTTAATGCAATTCAGTATCTCTGCTCAAATGGCCATGACGTGCCTGGAAGCAGTGGGAACATCCTAGCTCCTTCCTCCAATGTCCTGCCTGGCCTGGCTTCTTCCCTCACGTCCTGCCCACAGCAGGTTCACATCCTAGGTGATCCATTCAGTAGATGTTATGCTTAGGGACATGGTCTAGTGGCAGACTTAGTAGGGCTGGATCATGGTTGGACTCGATGATCTTGAAGGTCTTTTCCAACCAAAACCATTCTATGATTCTATCCCACGGAGGCTGTGTTGTTACCAGTGTGAAAGCAGAACAGCTGTGTTAGAGCCGGGATAGCCTTCATCAGCAGAAATCCAGAACAAACCATGCTGCCCTCAGGAAGCTGGAGCTTTTTGGGCTGGGGGATTCCTGTAAATTTTGACCTTCTTGAGTTCTTCTGCTTTAAGACAACCCAGCAGAGTGAGTACAAACCCTTTTCCAGAATTAACACTTTGAAAGAAAAAGGTTGGCAGTGATACTGCTTTTTTTTTAAAAAAAAAAAACACCACAAAAAAAATCAATGCTAGAGTTGTAACACCACTCCCAAGTTTGAATTTCCTTGGAAAGACACGTCTTGTGAGTGTCCCATTGCAGAAATGAGTGCACTGCAATCCCAGACAGTTAATAGCCGGGGTATGGCGGTTTCTCCTTGTCTCAGTGCCAAGCTGGTTTGACCGTTCTCGTCAGCAACAGAAGAATCTTTTCCATGTCACCAAATGGGTCTTTGAAGTAGCAGCTCCAGCACTAACTTGGTGGTGTGATCCATCAGCATTTTGGGATGTAATTGGGATGCTTTCATTTTCCCGGAGCCAGGGGATGTGCTGTGAGAAACCACTGGGAAACAATTTTTATCCAATTGGTTATAGGTGGATCCTTGAGGAAATGACAGTTTGCTTCTCTGGAGTAATCAGCATGAAAGATTGTATCCTGACGGTGTGGGGACAGCTGTGTGCCTTTAGCCCGTTTCTGAGCATTGATGATTTCTTGGTACAAAAATGAAAGTCGGTTTTATCAGCTGAGCTCAGCAACATCAGCCTCTCCCTTCTCCCTCAGGAGGCATTTGGAGATCTGATTCTGTCAAAGAAAAGCACACATTAAAGTCCACTTCTGGTTTGTTTTCTTTTTATAAACAGCTAAAATTATTTCCAATTCTACAATTTTCAGGTTACAAACCCTATAGCAAAGATTGGTTTCACATCATACAAAAATATTTAAAGCCCTTAAGAATTGAAAAAGCACTTGTAAATGTATTTGTGGAAGAGAATTCTAAATCTGGTAACTAAAAATATCCTTACGTGAGCTACACAAAAAGCCAAGAATTTTACATCAAAACACCACATGGAAACCAGACCAGAACATTGATACAACCCCTGGAAAAGCCAAATGATGGTGATGTTCCAAATTCTCCAGCAGCAGAGGATGGGCTGGTGGTTCTCAAAGCATTGCTCTGTGAGAAGTTAGTTTGCAGATGATTTGCAGAAGTTTAAATCTCTGGTTTGGGTGGGAGAAAGCAAACGAGCTCCCTGGCTGTCCTATTTCTGTAACTACAGGCATGATCCTGAGATAAGCACAAAGTCAGAAACAGGCCCATAATTGCATTCAAATTGAAAAAACCCTTCTCTATTCAGAATTTCTTATTTAGAAATAAAAATATCAACAAAAATGTGACCTGAAAAAATAATCGCTCTGCACTTTAAAATCCATCCAAACAAATTGTGCCTCAGTGTATCTGTAGGCACGGCTCCTTTGGTTTCCTAAAATTCTCATTTGTGCCTGGTCACATTGCACCGGCAGAGTCAGTGCTCACAGCGTGTGGCTGTGGTGTCTGTACCCTGCATCAGGTTCGATCTCTTCCTTTTAGGAATTCACACTGCCGCGGCAGAGCAGAGTCGCAAGCTCCATTCCCACGGTGCTCTGCCTTGAGTGCTCTGAAGGGCATCAAAACTAAGACTGATGCATGAAGGCAAAAAAACCCCCCAACCTAAAGCCTTTTAATACATTTTGAGTTTGTACTTGGGCTTGATAAAGCAGTTGCCTACCTGCTCTGCAGCACAAGTCTTCTCCAGGAGGTGGAAGCTGAAGATGTCCCCTCTTGCTCAGCCTAATCCCCAGGCTTGGCATTCGGCAGGCTGAGCAGCTCCAGCAGCTCCCTTCTCCAAGGGGAGCTTGGTGCCAAGCAGCACCTTCTGCTTGCCTAAATGAGTGGAGGCCAAATCAAGGAGGCTTGGGGTAGGACCAAGCATGAGACCATCCTGAGAACACAGATCAATCTGGAAGAGCTGCTTCAGTGGTCTCTGGAGTATGGTCCTGCCCTGCAGGGCAGTATAAAAGTGGTTTCCCGAGAGTGGAGATGGGCAACATGTGAGTAAGCTGGGGCACACTGCAGAGGAGACAGAGATGCTGAGGATGCTGGAGGGGCTGGGGATGTTGGGGTGCCCAGGATACAGAGAAAGGAAAGCGTTGGACTCACATTTCTTTTTCTCTTTCTTTTTTTTGTAAAACATTTGCAGACGATAAAAACCAATCAATTGAGCGCCTCACAACTACACTGCATAATGAGAAGCAGAAACACAGGCGGATTTCCAGACAACTGGAAAATTAGACTGCCAAAGTGTATGTCAGGGAATTTAAGTGAAAAAAAATGTATTTTTTTGCAATCTACAGAAATGTACATACATATATATCCTTAAATAGTAAAAATGCACAGAAAAATTACTGCCATATCAGTATAACAGCAAGTTTGCACATATTGAGTTGATATTAATAATTAATGTAATAATCTATTCTAACATTTTGACATTAAAATCACTTTTCTTTTACCTGTAGTGCCACTAGTAAAACAGACGATTGATAGATCTTCTGGTCGAGGAGGCTAGAAATACACAAGGAGAATAAGAAAATCACATTAATCAAATGCAGAAGGGTCAATGGTAGACTGTTGTCATTGTGTAAACTTAAAGATCAAACTAATTATATTTCAGCTTTGCCATAAAAAGTTTTCATTCCCCTTGGCAAATATTTAAAAAAATCATAAAACTGTTTTTATGAGGTTTCTTCAGTTGATGCAGACTCCCTTCCTTATGTTTTGCTCCAGCTGCACTAAGAGCATGCTTCAGTGTAAGAAAACTTTAATGGAATATTTATCTTGCAGTTAATATTTTCAAAGACACCATCTACACCTGTGGGTGTGTGTGAAAACTTGAGATAATTTTCTGCTTTCTAGAAAAATTCTGGAAATCTGTGGTTATCAACCACAAGGGACAACTTTCTGAAGCTGCTGATTGCTCCCGTTTCCAGCAGTACTTCCTTATTTTCAGCACTACTGCCTGTGTCTGCTATTTTGGGACACAAATGAACAAACAAGCACTCTGAAAATCAGAGGCTGCTTTTGAAAGTTTTGCATGAGTATGAGCAGCCAGCGAAAAAAACGTAAATGCAATTTTCCAAAAATATCCTGGATGAATTCTGCCATGTCATCTTCCAGAGCTACAGAAACCCCACTGGAAAGCCAAGGGTGCAAACGCATTCTCCCAGTGCCACAGGGGTAAAGCAGTGGAATTAGTGTGGATTAACAATGGCATTTAATTACTGCCTCATTAACTTGTTCAGCAAGGACAGACTATCTCAGTTAAGTGCCCCAGGTGGAGGAGGTAACCTACCCATCCCCGGTGGATGGCACTGACCACCCCTGGGCTCCTCCACTGCCCCCACATGGAGAGGGAGATGGGGCGCTGCCCCTAAAGACACAATGGCTTCCTTCTGCCTAGAGCAAACCCTTCCCTTTCTTGTCAGAGAAATAAATGTAATGTAGTCAGCTGCAATGTGAAGTGGGAAAAGCAGCATGCCAACACTCACCACAGGCATGTGTCGACTCTCACGGCCACAGTCCTGAAAGAGAATAAAATAACAGAAATTATTCCCACTTTAATTCCTGTGGTGTAACCCACTTGTTAATAGTCTGCAAACCACTGAGGGAGAGCATGAGCTAGAGCAGAAAAACCTGTGGCTAACGCTTAGGTTATCTTTTCTATCCAAAGTTTCTTGCATGAAATGCAACGCCGTCCTTGGATTTTAAGTGGTGCTCGGATTGGTTGAGCTGGATCCAGGCTGTTTCATAAAAGTGTAAGGCTGTAGCCTTCCACGTAGGAGGACAGTGTCTCTTAAATAGCAGCTAATGTCTTATTTGAGAAGAAGAGATCAAAATGTTGGCTCCTATCAACAAGGAGTAACACTTAAGAGACAACTACACTGAGTCATGCATCAATATTAACAGCCACAAGCTGGTCTCCAGACACTAAACCTGCCACACAGTTCACATCCTTGTATATTTTATTGTTTTGGTTTTTTTTTACAAGAAGTACAAAATATAGTAAAAAGAGAGGGAGAGTAAACTTACCTCCACCTCCTGCATGGTTTGGATGCGAACCCCACAGCACCTCCCTCTCTCCATCAGCTCCTTCTCAAAGGGGTCCATCAGGATGATGGAGCTAAGCCCTGGTGTTTCTCTCCTCTCCACATGGTCGAGGAGTATTCTGGCTTTTTCAGGTTTGTCACAGATGACTGTGGAAATGTCAGCTGGAAGAAATGCAGCCGAATGAGTTGTTTACATTAAATGTTTTTTAATGCAAGACTGGCTGTTGGCTCATAGCTAATGTTGCATCAGTTATATTCACTTCAGGCTAACATCAGAAACCCTAGAATATAACGTACATTTCTCTTAGAAAATTGCTGCCATTTTAGCTAACCTAAACCAATGCTGAAGCTGTAGCCAACATCTACAATTATTCTGGGATCCAGTTAAAAATACCAAAATCACCATCATGTGGGCTAAAAAAACTAGAAGGCAAAATATGAAGCAGTACAAGAGTGGGTGGCCGTGGAGTAATTCCCGCTGTCAGAGCAACCTCATCCATGGCTGTACATGACTGGGTGTGCGGGAAACGCAGCAGAGGCAGCCCTGACCCAGCATGGGGACACATCACTCCCCAGAAACCTCTCTAAGTGCCTTCAAGACATTCTTTGAGTAAAATTGCCCGTCTTTTGGAAAGCAGAAGAAAATGAACCATTCTGAGCAACGAATCTGGTTTCTGAGAAGATTACATCAATTTTGTTTTTACCTGTGTTGACAATGTAACGAATGGCTCCAGGACCTAAGGTGTCATAGAGGGGAACCACCACCATGGAGTAGGTGTAGCAAGCCAGCTCGGAAATGATCCACTGCAGGAGGACATCAAAGCACGATGGTGAGAAGGGTGAGGACAGGGAAGCAGATTTAACACACTCAAGAGGAAGCTTTAAGCACAGAACTAACTCACAAGTCAGGAACATTGTTAATACAACATCAAGTTGAACTTAAAATCTCACCTCTGGACGGTTTTGAGCAAAGACCCCAATGAACTGCTTGGTGGATGGCTTGCAGCCCTGCTGAATAAGTCCTGAACCCAGAGCTTCTGCTCTTTCAGCCACCTGGAAATTGAAGAGGAAAAAAATGCATAAAAAATTAATATAGGCAATGTCAAACTAGCAAAGACTCAGCTTATACAGGGAGGCTCTCAAATTACTGTCTTTGCTATCTAAAAGACCAATTCTTAATGTTATCATGAGCCATTAGCAGTTGACTAGCAGCTGACCTTCGGTTGCCAGTGCCCCATGGCTTTGAGCATGTCAGTGCCACTGCCAAGAGTGGGCTAACAGCATTGAGCCGTTCCCCTGTATAACTAACACACCTACATAACGCTGGGATGTGCCCATCTGGGGAAACCAAGGGGCTTTGTGTGGCACATTAGCAACCTCCTGGTCTAGCATGTGCCTCTTGCTGATGGGTGCCTTAACATCCCCTTCTTCTGCCAGGCAAGGTGAGGGCACCTGGGGAGAGGACTCTGCAGCGGGTGTCATTTCCAGCTCACCTCCTTGTAAGACAGCCACTGGTAGGGCTGCTTGGGCTTCCTGAATCCCAGGCAGGGGCCGTTTTCTGGAAGACACAAGTAGAAACGTTGGAGTTACAAGGACGGTGCCAGGAGATAACGTGCTGTGCAGTAATATAGTCCTGGTTTACTGGGACAGAGTTTTAGAGTCAGTTTTCTGGTTGGGAAAACTTCTGTTCTGTTAGGACTACAACACTCTATTTCATAGGAACAAAGTTATACTTTGTTATAGTTTTCAGCTAACCAAGCTCTTGAGACAAACAGGTAAAGAGGCTGGGAAAAGTGGAAATCCACGATAGTTGACCCCAAGCTGACCCCAGGCTGATCAATTAGTACTATTCCATACCATAAACATCACATTCACTATAAATTGGTGAGTTTGCTTGGGATGGGCCTTCTTCCCTCTTCCTTCTTCCCTGGCTGACATCTCAAGAGGAACTTGACTACTGTCCTACTCCTAAGGCCTACTGCCCCACAATACTGGCTAAGTATAACTCTGTGTACTTTATATTAATACTGTTATTAATAGGAGTTGTTGTTATTATTATTATTTTATTAAATCTATTTCTATTCCATGGATCTCCTTTCCTTTTCCCAACTCCCCTCCCCAGCTGGGGAGGAGTCATCAGGTGGTAGAGCAACTGAATGACCACCATGCTGCAGGTATGCAGCAGAGCCCTCGAAGAAGAAATCCACTGTTATTAGGGTCAGCTCACACTCCTGGGGCTGAGCTCATAGCAAGCCTGATCAAATTAAACACCAGTGCAGTTGATGGGAGACCAGCTGCACAGAAGGGCTGCTACACCACTGGGGCCTCCCACACTTTTATGGGCTGCAATGCTCTTTCAGCCTCTACAATCTCGAAGCCTTTGAGCCTCCTACACCATTTGGGCTTCTACATCGTCTCATCTTCCACCTCTCCCCCCAGGTCTCCCTCTCACTATGCTCTTACCAGAGATGCTGAATCCCCTCCTGAAGACTTCGTACATGGTCCTGGCATCATCATAGTAGTGAGTCAGCAGCTGTGGGCTGTCCCCGATGACCGACCGGCGTGCCCCGTCCAGGCCCTGTGCAACACAGCGTGACATGATGTGACACAGATGGGAGATGGTGAAACCCCAAACCACGAAGCAGCACGCTCCCCAAATGCTGAGGAGACCTCTGCACTGCCACAATGTTCCTTCCCCAGCAGCCAGAGGGATGGGAGAGGTGGGACGTCCACCTCAGCGTCTCAGTAACATGGAGAACCACCTGCCCTGAGAGGAGCATTTGTCTCGGCTCATTGCCTTAAGAGATGGTTGCTATTTCCCAAGGAGATTCAAGGAGGAATTTAAGTCTGCATGTAACAGAGTGAGGACATGCTGGGGAGAGCAACTGCCCTGGGCTCCACAGACCCCTAGGACCACCGCCATGGACACCTTCTCGAGGACATCCAGGCCAACGTCAAGGCCAACTCTGGATCCCAGTGGGGGGGTTCAGTGGAGGTGTTTTAGGAGTGGGCACAGGGAGGCCGGCAGGGCCAGAGCAACCGAACCATGACTGCGCTGCGAGCCAGGAGAAAGTCTTATCACGGCCCTAACCACAGGGGGAAACTGCCTTGGAAAATGTAAATTATTCCCACCCTTTTAAAAAGTTATTGGAATTAAAGACAATAAAGTTTTAGAGGGAACATCACAAAAGGCTTTAAAAATTCTCATCACCCTTTCAGATATTAATTTAAGTGGAAACAATTTTCAGAAATATTTCTGCACTTTATAATGGAGCAGCTTCATTAAACTTTAAAACCTTTGCAAGCATGAAAATTAATAACTCCTCAGACTCTAAGCACAGATTTGTGTCTACTTTTTCTTATTATTACAAAGTTTGCAGCAGCAAACTCAGTAATGGGCACACACAAGAAGTGCCAGCCAATTTGATTGTATCAGCTTTTGTCTTTCTGTGGTTCTTCCCTAACTTTTGGTCATGGACGGTTAAGCAAAGCTAAGACCAAAATGTTATGAAAAATGTACGAGAATAAATCAATGGGCTATAGTCTAGTTTTCCAGTTTACAGAAAAAGGTGAATGAAGGGCTGAAGTGATCCCTGCCGTAGTGCATTACATGACTGATCTCAGGATGAGATCAGGGAGTCCTCAAAACAAATCAAAGCCCCTCCTGGCATCCCCTGCGGTCATTTCCAGGCATGCAAACCTTGGGTGAAACCCAGCCCCTCTGTCCGGTCATGCCGCCGGCCTCACCTCGACCTCCTCTGACTGCATCCGCAGATCGCAGGGCGGCTTCACGGCCCGGGGCCGGCTGGCAAACCAGTAAGCGACGACGGCAGCAAAGGCACCGATGCCCACCAGCGCGGTGGCCGGCAGGTTGCGGAAAAACTGGCTGAGGTCATCGAATTCGGGGAGCCGCAGGCTCCGCAGGATTTCCTGAGCCTGCATCTTCTCCGCCAGCGAAACAGCAAACTCTGCAAGAGGCAGAAGGATGTGATCAGGGGGAGCACAGGCAGCACGGGTCTCCGCTTGGCTTGGGAAGGGGAAAATGTGCTTTCCTTTGTCAGCCATCGCAAACACGCTGCACTGTTGACCAACAAAATCCTTAACTTGAGAGGAACAGCATCTGTGGAAAAGATCAGAGAAAGGAGGAAACATCCCTGCAAGCGCGAGCAGGAGCAGGCAGCTCCCTATGAAAGGACAACCACATTCATCAGGCCGTGCAGCTGCAGTGACCTGTAGCTGACAGATGCTGTGACAAGCTCCGGGATCCAGCTACGACTGGACCCTCAGGGCTGCCAGGAGCTTGCTGGGCCTTCCCTAAGCAGGACAAGGGCTGCGTGGTGGGCACAGCCCT